CTTCCAGGAATATATAACTCAAGTCTAATCATAAGAAAAACATCAAACAAATCACAGTTAAAGGACATTCTACAAAATAAGTACTTGTTAAAATTGTCAAGATTATCAAAAACAAGGGAAGTCAGTAACAGTAACAGCTAAAAGGAGCTTAAGGAAACAAAACAACTCAGTGTTATCTGCTATCCTAAATGGGATCCTGGAACAGAAAAAGGACATTAGGTAAAAATTAAGGAAATATGAATAAAATATGGACTTTAGTTAATAATATATAGCAACATTAGTTCATTAATTGTAACAAGTGTACCATACTAATGTTAAATGTTAATAATAGGGGAAACTGGGTATGGGGAATACGGGATCCCTCCCTATTACCCTTTTTATTTTTTCTGTAAATGTAAAACTATTCTAAAGTAAAATGTTTATAAAAAAAGAGACATTGCCCTTGACTCTGAAAAATTCATGTTCTTGTGAAAAACCAGGAATGGCAACAAATAGTTATAATGCAGTGTGGTAGAGGTAACATTTTAGCTGTGCCTCGAAGAAAGAGTAAGAGTCAGCTCTGTGACAACGTAGAAGAAAAAACATTCCAGAGGGAGCACACCAGGAGTAAGGGTTAAGAGGGAGGATATTTGGAGAAGAACAGTAAAACAGTGTGGCTGAGGCGTAGAGAAGAGGGTAGAGGCTACAAACGATGCTGAAACATCTTATGTTTAATTTTTTTTAAATGTTTAAAGTATACCAAAAGTGTCAAGCACACTTATTGTTTCTTTCACTGTGGCTTCCCTGGTGGCGCAGTTGTTAAGAATCTGCCTGTCAATGCAGGGGACATGGGTTCGAGCCCTGGTCCAGGAAGATCCCACATGCCGCAGAGCAACTAAGCCCGTGCTCCACAACTACTGAGCCTGCGCTCTAGAGCCTGCGAGCCACAACTACTGAACATGCGTGCCACAACTACGGAAGCCCACGTGCCTCGAGCCCGTGCTCTGCAACAAGAGAAGCCACCACAATGAGAAGCCCACGCACGACAAGGAAGAGTAGCCACTGCGTGCCACAACTAGAGAAAGCCCGCGCACAGCAATGAAGACCCAATGCAGACAAAGAGGTATCACCTCATCCTGGTCAGAATGGCCATTATCAAAAAATCTAGAAACAATAAATACTGGAAAGGGTGTGGTAAAAAGGGAACCCTCCTGCACTGTTGGTGGGAATGTAAATTGACACAACCACTATGGAAAACAGTATGGGGGTTCCTTAAAAAACTAACACTAGAACTACCATATGACCCAGCAATCCTACTACTGGGCATATACTCTGAGAAAACCATAATTCAAAAAGAGACATGGACCACAGTGTTCACTGCAGCACTATTTACAATAGCCAGGACATGGAAGCAACCTAAGTGTCCACTGACAGATGAATGGATAAAGAAGATGTGACACATATATACAATGGAATATTACTCAGCCATAAAAAGAAATGAAATTGAGTTATTTGTAGTGAGGTGGATGGACATAGAGTCTGACATACAGAGTGAAGTAAGTCAGAAAGAGAAAAACAAATACCGTATGCTAACACATATATATGGAATCTAAAAAAAAAATGGTACTGATGAACCTAGTTGCAGGGCAGGAATAAAGATGTAGACATAGAGAATGGACTTGAGGACACGAGGTGGGAAGGGGAAGCTGGGGCAAAGTGAGAGTAGCATCGACATATATACACTACCGAATATAAAATAGTTAGCTGGTGGGAAGCAGCAGCATAGCACAGGGTGATCAGCTCGGTGCTGTGTGATGACCTAGAGGAGCAGGATAGGGAGAATGGGAGGGAGGCTCAAGAGGGAAGGGATATGGGGACATATGTATGCATATGGCTGATTCACTTTGTTGTACAACAGGAACTAACACAGTATTGTGAAGCAATTATACCCCAATAAAGATCTATTTTAAAAAATGTTTAAAGTATACCAAAAGTGTCAAACAGGTTTATTGTTTCTTTCACTGTGATCTGTTTTCCTGAACCACTACTTCAGTTAGTAGACACCTATACTTGTTTTTTTTGTTTGTTTGTTTGTTTGTTTGTTTTTGCGGTATGTGGGCCTCTCACTGTCGTGGCCTCTCCCGTTGCGGAGCACAGGCTCTGGACGCACAGGCTCAGTGGCCATGGCTCACGGGCCCAGCCACTCCGCAGCATGTGGGATCTTCCCGGACCAGGGCACGAACCCGCGTCCCCTGCATCAGCAGGCGGACTGTCAACCACTGCGCCACCAGGGAAGCCCGACACATATACTTTTAATAAACCAAAGATCTCCCATAAAAGCTTACAATATGGCCTGTACGATGCCACTTTATTTATCCAGAAATTTTCTTCTCTCTTCATGTATTGGACTCTTTTTTGTTTTATTTTAAAGAAACATTCTAACACACTTCAAAATATATATTATCAGCTAAGGCAGATCCACTAAAACTAAATGGTATCATGCTTTGCATAGGATTTACATTAAGTATAACATGACCATGATATGCAGAAAACCAAGATACAAAGCAGGGATTAATTATTGCTCAGAGAAAATGCCCACCTTCGTTGCTTTACTGAGAGTTTAACTTGGGTTCTAAGAATTGCTCTTTAATTTGGCCACAGCCAAAGTAAATGAGCTATAGTGTAACATTATTTAAAGCAATGTTATGCATAAATATATCTTGTCAACAGACTTCTTGTTAAAACCTAAAATGCATTTTAATACATATTATTTTTAACTAAGGGATATGCAGCTCTATGATTCAACCAAAATTTCATATATAATCAAATTTTGCTTTATACTTTATTTCCCCAAATCAATGTCACAGGTAGAGCTATTTAAGTTAGAGGTATTCATAATATTCAGCTGAATGTAAACTTTCATTAACTTCCTTTTGGATATCAAGAAATAATTATTCCTCCTTTTTGCCTAAAGAAAAGGAGATATTTTTTGGAGAAAATGAATGTACAAAAATATAATAGCCCTGGGTAGCATTTATGAGAAAACAATTCTATTACTGATTGTACAAAATAGCCTCACTTACATGATTTTACCATTTGGGACCCAGTTTCCAGTCTCTAGGAGACTGTTTTCCAATCACCTCTTACTAGACAGTGTTTTAGTAACCTAGCGTTTCTAGAAAGGGGAAAGATGTGCTTACCAAGAATTAGCTCTACACTCCAAAGAATAAAGACTAGAAGTTCATTCTATTTTCTTTACAGAATAGATATTTTTTTCATTATTTTTTAATTCCTTTGTCTCAGTACCTACTCCTTGAAAAGCTACTTCAGTATAGATTAAGAGCAAAAAAGAAATAATAAAATATTCAATATTTATTGTAAAGAAAACCCAAGTGCAGATAGTTATGTTTTTCACTGTTCCATTAAACAGAGAGGTAAAGTGACAAAAGTGTTAATTTTCTATACGAAGACCTATTATACACAACAAAGCTGAAAACAAAACTAGTGCAAATCATACATGTGTACATCATAGGTACACAATACATGATTAAATGTGTGTTTACTATTCAAGTGTACCATGTACTGCTATTGTCAGTTATTTACTGGGTCTAATATCTATCAAAGGCATTACCAAAGAGTATCTTACTCATTTAACTAAATTTCCTTTCAAGCTGAATAATTACTATCCATCAAATGAATTTCATGAAATCAGATTTTGTTTTTAAGTCAAACTATATCATATCATAATTTCAAGATTTCAAGATGATTATTGTAAGATGAAGGAGACTACCACAAAACAATTTTCATATACGGGAAAACTATTTTAAGTGAATCAATGAACAAATGGAAATCTCTTTAAAGTATCTGATATCCTTTTCTTACTTTTATATATATGTTTCATAAAAATGATCGTACAGGGACTTCCCTGGTGGTCCAGAGGTTAAGACTCCACACTTTCACTGCAGGGGATGCGGGTTCGATCCCTGGTCAGGGAATTAAGATCCCTGCATGCTTGCCATGCAGTAGGACAAAAATTAAAAAAAAAAAGAAAGAAAAGAAAAAAGATTGTACAAAGAATGTCACCAAGAAGAATCTCTCTTAATAAGATGAGAATAATGTCTTCAACTGCCTAAAGCATTAATCTTGATTCCCCCCCTTTTTTGTGTTGGAACCACTTTAAGAGAAGTATTCAATAACATAAAACAGGGAATGAATACAATATTTAACATGACATCATTTAACATGACAAAACGATGCGTATTTGGATATAATTCTATGTTTTGCAAGTTGATTTCATATGTATTAGCCTGCCTCATTCAATTCTTGCAAAAATGCTATGAAATAAACAAGGCAAACTTTACCATCACCATTTTATACACAAGGAAAGTGATATTTTGAAGGTTGTGGTGATTAAAAGAAAGTCATGTGACTAGTGAGCTGTAGAGTCGTGATTTCAGACAGTGTTCTGAACCTTGTTCTCATGCCCTTCTACCTTAGCAACCAGGTATGGGAATGAGTCCATGCAATGCATCTCACATAATTATTCAATTATTGTATCTGAAATTTTCTTATATTCAAGTTCATGAGAACACGTATATCAGGTTCATAGAGTGATAAATGAAAAAAAAAGTAATTTTTCCAATTTGGAGCAAGACAGGAAGACAGAGGTAGATTTCATATATTCCATTTCAACCTTCTAGGAAGTGTTTCCAAAAATTATACAGCTACAAAATATAAGCATAATTTTCTGAAACTGTAAACTCATTATTTCAAGTACTTTCAAAAGCTAACATTTCTATAATCCCCTAAGCCTATTTTCTTTAACCTTTCAAATGCATTTCAGGGCAACATGATTTGAAAGCAAGGAGCAATAAATTTCACCTATAGGAATCCACTTAGCATTTGGTTAAGCACTTCCTTCATTGCAAAGATTTGAAAAAAAATCAATATGCAGCACAAAAAATGAAACTTAAAATGTTAGTTTCATTACTTGCAAATGAAATATTGAAGACTGTGCTTACCTGTAACAGTTAGTTCAGTAGTTCTTCTCACAACAAAGCCTCCATATTTTAATTCACACGTATAATTTCCAATGTCGTCTTCTCTGACTTCTCTTATAAGCAGGGTATCTCTTTTGAATACAATACTTGGCCTCCATGTTTTTGTCCTACATTCCTACGTGAAGAACACAAAAATTTTATAGTACGTATAGTAACTTAAAGTATTTAAAATAACTAAACTAAAAGCTTCTAAACTTAGATTTTAAAAGAGCTAGAGCTGTGAATTAATGCTACAGATTTTCAAAACTTCTCCACATCTCTGGGAAATCAGGTACCTCAATTTGAAAAAAGCACTTTTAGCAAGAGTCACTTTATTAACGTCTAACTTTAGTGTCTCTAAATCATATATGTATTGATTTATTAGATATAAGAAAATGGCATTTATTAAGATTACTCCTGACATCATTTTTAGAAGCAAATAGTCTGCATTTGATGATTATGAAGTTAACTACTCTGATACTGATAATATAAAATATAAAATGAATTTTTTAGTGGAAAGCACAAAAACTAATTCTATAGAGAAAAATGCTTTAGTTCAATATTTTAAATCTTTTAAGGCTGCATTTAGAAATAATTCAAACTTTTCATAGCATATATATTCTACAGTCCATGGAAGAAATGGCCATTATTTATATGCAAGGTCTTTATAGTCTCACAGTCTACCAAATTATGGTCTCTGCTTTAAGCTTTGGATTATAATGATGTTGGCTCAGGAGACTTCTGTTTTTGCCAAACAGAAGTCCATTTTCTCTAGCCAGATTCGAAATCAGTGGAATGAGGATAAAATAACTTTAAACCTTTTAACACTATTCAGAGGTAATATTATTTTGTTAAAAATTTATTGCCAAATCAAATTTATGCAGACCATTATTTTGATTATGTGTCTCAATGCCTGTGTATAACTGGGGGACAATTATCTGGTTATTTCAGTCCAAAATATACACTTAATATCCTCATATTAGTTGCATAAACTGTCATAGTTGCATAAATTCTACATTAAATGTATGCAATACATATTCCCTTGACTATGGAAAAATAATCTGAATTGTTACAAGACTTTTAAATTCCACATATACTGCATCTCCACCCATCACTTCACTAATTATGGTCTTTATAGTGTGAGGTCACAATGACTGGGGAGATGGTGGAAACATGACTAAAGGACCAATATGAGGACAGCCATTTAAAAAACTGAGTGTGTGACTCTGTGTGTGTGTGTGTGTGTGTGCGGCCTCTAATGTTTCAGCAAATTTTGAGATACTATTTGCAAAAAGTGAGAAAAAGTGCATGACTCTTAAGATCAACTTATTGGCAAACAACAAAGAAATTACATATTTAGAAGCTGAATGTACACATATGAGTACTAGAAAAATATTTGTACTTGAAGATCTTGTGTCAAACTCCCCTAATACCTCTCCCCTTTGAGGAAATCATCAGGGCTTGCTTAGAATCCTCCTGTGGAAAGCAGGCAAACCACAGAAAATCAGGGTGAGAAATATATAATTAAAAAACTTAAGTAAATAAAGCTCACATGCATAGGAACAGAAATAGTGGGGCTAATATTTAAGGGCTATTTAATACTGTCTAATACAGAAATCCAAGGGAAAAGTAGAAAAATATTTCAACAGTTCCCTTGATGTTCTGAATACTCCACTGTTTACTGTCAAGAACCAAAAGCAAGTCATTCAAAGAAGGGCATTACTAATTTTGGAAAAATCCTTTAAAAACTGTTAAAGATGTACTTCCTGTTTCATTTCTAACAAGTTTCGAATTTGTTATCAGTCCTGAGGGCTCATATTCTGTATACTGACATTTGTGAATCTAGTTACTAAAAGATCCAGCTTCCTAAATTCCTATTTCCAGTTAGTTGGACAAAGCAAAAGTTTACACTAGGTATCTTTAAATCATGGAAAACATATTCCAGACAAATGTTCATAGCATCTATATTGTATTTCCTTGGGTACGTTCAATAACAAAACATCTTTTAGATATAAATAAGTTGAAGAACATGTTCAAATCTTGAAATTCAGTCAAAGTCAATGATGTGACAGGAAGAACAGTGTCTGATTATTCTGCTTAAGCCTAAAGTTGCTTCTGGTTTTTGAAAAGAAGTTAATCTAACACTATTTTTATAATCGTATACATTTTCATCAGATTTTTAAAAACATGTATGCTTTTATACAAAAGGGATTAGGATATGCACAAAGATACTTCCATTAAACAGAATATTTCAATAAAACTAGTGTACCATTTTATCACAGAAGCAAGTCAATCCTTTTTCTCCTTGTTTGGGGACATTTTGGACTGTTTATATGAAGAGTTTGAAATGAATGCTTAATGCATTTTAGTTCCTGAAATTATCAACACAGATTATAATAGACTTGATAGGATTATCAGCATAAACTAGATATAAACATTAACATAGTAGCTTATTACAATGTACTAACAATACAAATATTGACTAGGATTATCAAAGCCCCTGGTTTAAAAACTTATAATGACCAGCACAACTTGCTGTAGTGTCTTAGGAAGGCAGAACTGAACTATATAACACCCATTTAAATGTTTTTATCCAACTTGCCCTAAAATAAGGTACACATTAATCTATTTATAAGTGATAAAATCATTCATAGTCCATACCTTATACCATAGGATTTCAGGTTCTCTGGATGGTAGTAAAAAATCTTCTATGTCACGGCACGAAATTTCCTTGCTTTTGCTAAGTTCAGCTTTATCAAAGTACTTCATCTTGGAATTGTAGCACAGTCCAGTGTCATTTTCACCCACTGTCAGTGAGATGGATACTTTCATACAGTAAGTTGAGTTTCTGTAATGAAGCAGAATAAATATGGTGGCCTGGTGTGAACAAAAAGCAACTGTTGTCAAGGCAGTGTATTTACTTCACTCAAAAAGGGAGAGAGGGAGAGAGGGATAAAAACTCTACTGATAATTAATGTATGGTATCATGGCTTTTTCCACAGGGCTCTATCTTGTCAGCCAGCTAAACAATGCTTGGTTCTGTTAAACCATTTGTATATTTTTCATATGTTAGAAAAAAATTTTATATTATATAAAAGTTTAGTTTGAAAAACTGTTCAATAGACATTTTTATTTAGATTTTACCTAGGAAAATAAAATAAAGGAAGATTTAGGTCAAGAAACAAGTGAAGCCTGGTCATAATTATGCTAAAATTGGTAAATTCATACTCAGCCGTAAAAGAATGAAATAATGCCATTTGCAGCGATACGGATGGACCTAGAGATTGTCATACTGAGTGAAGTGAGTCAGACAGAGAAAGACAAATATCATATGATATCACATATGCAGAATCTAAAAAACAAATGGCACAAATGGACTTATTTACAAAACAGAAATAGAGAAAGTCTGGTCGCAGTCAGCTGCGTCTGCGCTGGACCTGAGGTAGGATCTAATACAAAAGAAGCCATCTATGGACTATTGGAGAGGACTGTGCCTCACCAAAAGATAAAGAAACAGAAAGCTGGAGAGTCTCCACTGCTAGTTTAATGACCCAAGAAAGCAGAATTTTGAGCTGGAAGTTTTCCTAATAGGAAGCATCCTTGGGGAGACCTTTAAGATGGCGAAGGAGTAAGACGCGGAGATCACCTTCCTCCCCACAAATACATCAGAAATACATCTACATTTAGAACAACTCCTAAAGAACACCTACTGAACGCTGGAAGCAGACCTCAGACCTCCCAAAAGGCAAGAAACTCCCCACGTACCTGGGGAGGGCAAAAGAAAAAAGAGACAAAAGAATAGGGATGGGACCTGCACCAGTGGGAGGCAGTGGACTTTGGGAGCAACTGTAGACTTGGGGTTTGCTTTCTGCATCTAATTTGTTTCTGGGTTTATGTTTATCTTCGTTTAGTATTTAGAGTTTATTATCATTGGTAGATTTGTTTATTGATTTGCTTGCTCTCTTCCTTTATTTTTATATATAGATATATATACTTACTTCCTTTTTCTCTTTTTGTGAGTGCGTATGTGTATGCTTCTTTGTGTGATTTTGTCTGTATAGCTTTGCTTTTACCATTTGTCCTAGGGTTCTGTCTGTCCATACTTTTTTTTCTTTTTTTATTACTTTTTAATTTTTTAATTTTAAATATATTTTTTTATTTTTTATTATAATAACTTTATTTTACTTCTTTCTTTCGTTCCTTTTTTTCTCCCTTTTCTTCTGAGCCATGTGCCTGACAGGGTCTTGGTGCTCCAGCCGGGTGTCAGGCCTGTGCCTCTGAGGTGGGAGAGCTGAGTTCAGGACATTGGTCCACCAGAGACGTCCTGGCTCCACATAATATCAAACAGCAAAAGCTCTCCCAGAGATCTCCATCTCAACACTAAGAACCAGCTCCACTCAACGAAGAGCAAGCTACAGTGCTGGACACCCTATGCCAAACAACTAGCAAGACAGGAACACAACCCCACCCATTAGCACAGAGGCTGCCTAAAATCATAATAAGGTCACAGAAATCCCAAAACACACCACCAGACGCAATCCTACCCACCAGAAATACAAGACCCAGCCTCATCCACCAGAACACAGTCACTAGTCCTCTTTACCAGGAAGCCTACACAACCCACTGAACCAACCTTAGGCACTGGGGGCAGACATCAAAAAAAAACGTGAACTATGAACTTGCAGCCTGTGAAAAGGAGACCCCAAACACAGTAATTAAAGCAAAATGAGAAGACAGAGAAACCCACAGCAGATGAAGGAGCAAGGTAAAAACCCACCAGACTAAACAAATGAAGAGGAAATAGGCAGTCCACCCGAAAAAGAATTCAGAGTAATGATAGTAAATATTACCAAACTCTCAGAAATAGAATGGAGAAAATACAAGAAAAGTTTAACAAGGACCTACAAGAACTAAAGAGCAAACAATGATGAACAAGACAATAAATGAAATTTAAAATTCTGTAAAAGGACTGAACAGGAGAGTAACTGAGGCAAAAGAATGGATAACAGACCTGGAAGATAAAATAGTGGAAATAGCTACTGCAGAGCAGAATGTAGAAAAAAGAATGAACAGAATTGAAGACAGTCTCAGAGACTTCTGGGACAAAATTAAACATACCAATATTCGAATTATAGGGGTCACAGAAGAAGAAGAGAAAAAGAAAGGGACTGAGAAAATATTTGAAGAGATTATAGTTGAAAACTTCCCTAATAAGGTAAAGGAAATAGTCAATCAAGTCCAGGAAGCACAGAGAGTCCCGTACAGGATAAATCCAAGGAGAAACATGCCAAGACACATATTAATCACACTATCAAAAATTAAATACAAAGAAAAAGTATTAAAAGCAGCAAGGGAAAAACAACAAATAACATACAAGGGAATCCCCATAAGGTTAACAGCTGATCTTTCAGCAGAAACTCTGCAAGCCAGAAAAGAGTGTCAGGACATGTTTAATTGATGAAAGGGAAAAATCTACAAACAAGATTACTCTATCCAGCAAAGATCTCATTCAGATTCAACGAAAAAATTAAAACCTTTACAGACAAGCAAAAGCTAAGAGAATTCAGCACCTCCAAACCTGCTTTACAACAAATGCTAAAGGAACTTCTCTAGGCAGGAAACACAACAGAAGGAAAAGACCTACAATAACAAACCCAAAACAATTAAGAAAATGGTAATAGGAACATACATATCGATAATAACTTAAATGTAAATGGATTAAATGCTCCAACCAAAAGACATAGACTGGCTGAATGGATACAAAAACAAGACCCATATATATGCTGTCTACAAGAGACCCACTTCAGACCTAGGGACACATACAGGCTGAAAGTGAGGGGATAGAAAAAGATATTCCATGCAAATGGAAATTAAAACAAAGCTGGAGTAGCAATTCTCATATCAGACAAAATAGACTTTAAAACAAACACTATTAGAAGAGACAAAGAAGGACACTACATAATGATGGATGGATCAATCCAAGAAGAAGATATAACAATTGTAAATATTTATGCACCCAACATAGGAGCACTCCAATACATAAGGCAAATGCTAACACCCATAAAAGGGGAAATTGACACTAACACAATCACAGTAGGGGACTTTAACAGCCCACTTTCACCAATGGACTGATCATCCAAAATGAAAATAAATAAGGAAACACAAGCTTCAAATGATACATTAAACAAGATGGACTTAATTGATATTTATAGGATATTCCATCCAAAAACAACAGAATACACTTTCTTCTCAAGTGCTCATGGAAAAGTCTCCAGGATTGATCATATCTTGGGTCACAAATCAAGCCTTGGTAAATTTAAGAAAACTGGAATCGTATCAAGTGTCTTTTCCGACCACAACACTATGAGACTAGATATCAATTACAGGAAAAAACCTGTAGGAAATACAAACACATGGAGGCTAAACAACACACTACTAAATAACCAAGATATCACTGAAGAAATCAAAAATGCCTAGAAACAAATGACAATGAAAACACAATGACCCAAAACTTGTGGGATGCAGCAAAAGCAGTTCTAAGAGGGAAGTTTATAGCTATACAATCCTACCTCAAGAAACAAGAAACATCTCAAATAAACAACCTAACCTTACATCTAAAGCAATTAGAGAATGAACAAAAAAACCCAAAGTTAGCAGGAGGAAAGAAATCATAAAGATCAGATCAGAAATAAATGAAAAAGAAATGAAGGAAACAGTAGCAAAGATCAATAAAACTAAAAGCTGGTTCTTTGAGAAGATAAACAAAATTAATAAACGATTAGCCAGGCTCATCAACAAAAAAAGAGAGAAGACTCAAATCAACAGAAGTAGAAATGAAAAAGGAGAAGAAACAACTGACACTGCAGAAATACAAAGGATCGTGAGAGATTACTACAAGCAACTCTATGCCAGTAAAATGGGCAACCTGGAAGCAATGGAAAAATTCTTATAAAAGCACAACCTTCTGAGACTGAACCAGGAAGAAGTAGAAAATATAAACAGACCAATCACAAGCACTGAAATTGAGACTGTGATTAAAAATCTTCCAACAAACAAAAGCCCAGGACCAGATGGCTTCACAGGCGAATTCTATCAAACATTTACAGAAGAGCTAACACCTATCCTTCTCAAACTCTTCCAAAATATGACACAGGGAGGATCACTCCCAAACTCATTCTACGAGGCCACCATCACTCTGATACCAAAACCCGACAAAGATGTCACAAAGAAAGATAACTACAGGCCAATATCACTGGTGAACATAGATTCAAAAATCCTCAACAAAACACTAGCAGACAGAATCCAACAGCACAATAAAAGGATCATACATCATGATCAAGAGAGGCTGATCCCAGGAATGCAAGGATTCTTCAATATATGCAAATCAATCAATGTGATATATATACCATATTAACAAATTAAAGGATAAAAACCACATGATCTCAATAGATGCAGAAAAAACTTTTGACAAAATTCAACACCGATTTATGATAAAAACCCTCCAGAAAGTAGGCATAGAGGGAACTTTCGTCAACATAATAAAGGCCATATATGACAAACCCACAGCCAACATCGTCCTCAATGGTAAAAAACTGAAACCATTTCCTCTAATATCAGGGACAAGACAAGGTTGTCCACTCTCAACACTATTATTTAACATAGTTTCGGAAGTTTTAGCCACAGCAATCAGAGAAGGAAAAGAAATAAAAGGAATCCAAATCGAAAAAGAAGAAGTAAAGCTGTCACTGTTTGCAGATGCCATGATACTATACATAGAGAATCCTAAAGATGCCACCAGAAAACTACTAGAGGTAATCAATGAATTTGGTAAAGCAGCAAGATACAAAA